ATATATATAATATTTTAATATTCGGTAGTTTTTTTATTTGGAGTTTGATAGTAAAAGTTATAGCATATTCAAATGTTATCTATTTTATAAAATGTTTTAATTCCTATTTATAGTTATAGCATTAATTTATTGCGAGGATAATTATATAACTTTTTTATTTAGATAAATATTTAAACATTATTAATTTTTCTTTTGAGTAGTATTTTTCTTTAAAATTATTATTATTATTTTAAAGATTATAAATGATAGCATTAACAGCGAAATCCCTTTATTAGTCGTCTTTTTATATTAATTTAAGGAATAAAACTACTTATTATTAATACTTGCTAATGGAGTAAGCTTATCATGTTGAGCAACATCATTTATTTTAAATTAATATATTTTTAGAACATAATTAATAGTTTTTTTAATTTATAAAACTATTGTTAACGTTAACACAAATTTTTTTATTATAAATTCACAATTTTTTTTGGCATGTAAAACAAATTATTAATATTTATAAATTTAAATATTTAATATTTTAAAAAATTATATTATTTATTTATTTATTAACTTTTAAATTTGTCTGTATTCAATTTAAAGTTTGAAAAATAAATTCATTAATTAATATAAAAATACAAAATTTCTGAAGAAGTTTCAATAAATAAATAAAAAAAAAAGACTAAAATAAGAATTTTTTTCCTTCTATAAAATGTGTGTCCAAAACTCTAAATAGTCTAATGAGTTGCGTTGATAAAGGGTGGCAACAGTTATGAGGCACAGCTGTGAGCTTCCCCTGCTCCACCGACTTCTTCTTGTTTACTGTGTTGTCTGCTCTTGCTTGTCTCCTCCTTTGGCAGCTGGAGAACTGGAGGAGTTGTGGAAGCCAACTTCAACCATTGATGGGCCTTCAAGGCCCTTGAAGATTACCTTTGATGGGCCTGCTAAGCACTGGACCGACGCCATCCCCATCGGCAATGGCCGTCTCGGTGCCATGGTTTGGGGCGGTGTTCCATCGGAACTTCTCCAACTCAATGGTATTCTTCCTTTCAATCTCCATATTATTCGCTTTACTTCCACTTTCTTACCTTGATCCGAATGCCAATGAAAGTGATGTTATATTATATTTATATGGTACTCATTTACACAAACTTTAATGCTATTAATATAGAGAAATATACTCCTTTATTCACGTTTAAGCATTTTGTTTTATATTCTTTGTCACTAGCTTAGCTTGTTTAAGGCTGCACTCTTACAATTATTTGAGTTTGTGACATTATAATGTGAGTGATACAGCACACATGGATACTGTCCTTCAAGATCTTTGTTAGGATACAATTGCACAGTACGGGACTCGAGTCCCAATCAGAAGGATGGAGGTTTATAACGGCTAGTTTTTGCAGTGTGGTATTCCTAAGGTTCTCAGATTCAATGGGGACTAGGGAGAAATATTTGCTCTGATTTTATTTTGCATCTAGTGGGCGATGTATATTTATATAGTTGAGATTGAGATGTCAAGGACTTGGTCATGCTGCGCTATGTTATGCACAGGGAAACCAATCAGCTGTGTCTTTTCTCTTTCGTGAAACATGCTAATGTGATGATTTAAAATTGTTTGTAGAGGACACGCTTTGGACTGGAACTCCTGGAAACTACGCCAACAAAAATGCTTCACAGGCAGTGGCTCAAGTTAGAAAGCTTGTTGATGATAGAAAATACTCTGAAGCTACGGCGGAAGCTGTCAAGTTGTCCGGAGACCCTTCAGATGTACGTAATATATATATCACAATAAGTATAACCATCCTTGCACTAAGTTTTTATGAACTATGCTATTTATTAGATTGCTGTTAGGGGTCGACAACCCTGCAATATGATATATAAACAGAGGAATCTGAGTAGGTGCTATTTTTGTAAAATACAAATCACATGATTTTATTCAACTAGTGCTTTTACACCCCCCCCTCCCCCACCCACCTCCTTTTCTAAATGTGTGCTTATTTGGTATTCATTTGGATTATGGAGTTGGTGGTTAAAGAAACTTTGTACAATGTTGGCACTCGCCCCTAACTGTTATTTCTTGATATGAAGGTATACCAACTTCTTGGTGATATCAAGTTAGAATTTGATGATTCTCATCTTGCATATTCAAACGAGTCTTATCATAGGGAGCTGGATTTGGATACTGCAACAGTAAAAATCAAGTACTCTGTAGGAGATGTAGAATTTACCAGAGAACATTTTGCTTCTAACCCAGACCAAGTCATAGTGACAAGGTTTTCAGCGAGCAAACCTGGGTCATTATCATTTACAGTGTATTTTGATAGCAAAATGCATCACAGTTCAAGGGTAAGTGGCCAAAATCAGATAATGATTGAAGGAAGCTGTCCTGGCAGGAGGGTCCGGCCAAAAGTGAATTCAGTTGACGATCCGAATCCAAAGGGAATTCAGTTTTCTGCAGTTCTTGATATGCAGATTAGTAAAAATAAAGGGGTTATACATGTTTTGGATGATAAGAAGCTAAGAGTTGAAGGCTCAGATTGGGCTATTTTGCTTTTGACAGCTTCTTCTTCCTTCGATGGCCCATTTACTAAGCCTGAAGACTCCAAGAAGGATCCTACCTCTGAGTCCCTCAGTAAAATGAATTCTGTGAAAAAAAATTCATATGCTGATCTTTATGCACGTCACTTGGATGACTATCAAAATCTTTTTCATCGTGTGTCATTGCAACTCTCTAAAAGCTCCAAAACTGCTCTAGGAAAATCTGTTTTGCACGGAAGGAAATTGGTTTCCTCCCAAACCAACATCTCTCAAATGGGAGGTGATGTCTCCATTCCAACTTCAGCAAGAGTCAAATCTTTTCAAACTGATGAAGATCCTTCCTTTGTGGAGCTTTTGTTTCAATATGGTCGATATCTTCTAATCTCTTGTTCGCGTCCTGGGACCCAGGTGGCAAACCTACAGGGTATCTGGAACAAAGATGTTGAGCCTGCATGGGAGTATGTCTTCCCTTCTCTTTTTATCCCTCTTCGATCAATTAAAAAAAAATAAAATTGTATGCTGTAGTTTCTAGGTTATAAGGTGGCTGGCTTAGAGTTTTCAGGTGGATATGGAATATTAAATATAAATACACATATATATATATATATATATATATATAAGGAGCGTATCAAGCGAGAAGTTTTTATTGTGAGAAGGTGGAAATATAACCCTTAGATTAATCAAGTGAGAGAAAATTTGGGATTTAATCAAGTGAGAGAAAATTAATCTAAGAGTTATATTTTCACTTTCTCACAATAAAAACTTCTCACTTGATACGCTCCCTATATATAGGGAGCGTATCAAGTGAGAAGTTTTTATTGTGAGAAGGTGAGAAGGTGAAAATATAACCCTTAGATTAATCAAGTGAGAGAAAATTTGGGATTTAATCAAGTGAGAGAAAATTAATCTAAGGGTTATATTTCCACCTTATCACCTTCTCACAATAAAAACTTCTCACTTGATACGCTCCACGGAGCGTATCAAGTGAGAAGTTTTTATTGTGAGAAGGTGATAAGGTGGAAATATAACCCTTAGATTAATCAAGTGAGAGAAAATTTGGGATTTAATCAAGTGAGAGAAAATTAATCTAAGAATTGTCGAGTTTGTAATTTGCCTATTTATTATTCTTTTTTTTTGTTTTTTTTAATGTTATCCAGTGGTGCTCCTCACTTGAACATTAATCTTCAAATGAATTATTTGCCATCCCTTTCTTGCAACCTACACGAGTGTCAAGAGCCCTTATTTGATTTCATGTCCTCTTTGGCAGTCAATGGCAAAAAAACTGCAAAGGTATTTTGTTCTTTTCCCTCTTCATATTTTTCTTGTCATTCTATTTAAAATAGGGATCGATTATGCCCATAAACTATCAGAAACTTTGTAGCGTGCCCCATACCTGAAAATCTTTAGCAAAGCATAAAAGCAAGAGAAAAAAAAGTCTAGCATATTACCATGTGCTCACTGTGCCATGAATTTTATATGTTCTGTCCAGATTTTCACTTGATCTTGCATTTAGGTGAACTATGGAGCAAATGGTTGGGTTGCACATCAAGTTTCTGACATATGGGCTAAAACATCGCCAGATCGAGGTGAGGCTGTCTGGGCTTTATGGCCAATGGGTGGAGCTTGGCTTTGTACCCATTTATGGGAGCAATATATTTATACAATGGACAAAGTAAGTTCTGGTTTTTCAGTAAATTATTTAATCCTTGATTTAAAGTATTGACTCAAAACTGATCTTGTGAAAAGAGCAGTTTAGACTTTAGGGGATTTAACAGTTTTAGATTTCCTCAAGTTATTGAATTTAAGAGCTGTCATACTTTGTTGAGTTGCCTACTTCATGCATGCCTAACTAATCTGCTTCTGTTTCATGGCATAACTATATGTTGGACGTATAATATTGAAAGCTGTTATTCATCTTCCTTTTGTGATAGGGTTCTTTATAACCAGTTGATGTATTTTTAGTTATAATTTGTTTTATGTAATGTACACAGATTTCAAAATTGATATTGATACTAATCCAAATATGACCTTGTTCAGCTACAATGAATAGTAAATCCAGGAACTCAGGGAGCAACATGTTGTATAAGTATTATGTGGTTCAAATAGACTTTCAAACCACAACCAAAAAATGTAATTGTAGATTTCAAGTTTCATATGGATGCAACTTATTTACTCCCATTGTTACCAATGAACCTTTGAGGTTATAAATATAGACTAGTTATTAGATACAGTGAAAAAACTATTATTTTATCATGGCAAGTGTATATCTATATTTTTATTTGTAAATACTATATTCATAAATTAGATTTGTTCTATGTAATATCTCATGTGTTTGTGTATCAGTTACTTGGTAAGTGATGGTTGAATTTTCTTTTATATTAGGATTTTCTTAAAAATAAAGCATATCCTTTGTTGGAAGGATGTACATCATTTTTGTTGGATTGGTTGATTGAAGGCCGAGGTGGATTATTGGAAACTAACCCATCAACTTCACCTGAGCACATGTTCATTGCACCAGATCGAAAGCCTGCTAGTGTGAGCTACTCATCAACCATGGATATTTCAATCATAAAAGAAGTTTTCTCTATAATCATTTCTGCAGCTGAGGTGAAAATGATCTTAATACTCAAACCAATACTAATTTCATAATATCCTAATTTTGTCTTGGGCACTAAATTTCTCAATAACAGGTTTTAGGAAGACAAAATGACGGTATTATCAAGAGAGTCACTGAGTCTCTGTCTAAGCTTCCTCCGACAAAAGTTGCTGGAGATGGTTCCATTATGGAATGGGTATGCAATTTTATATAATATGTATTCCTTTCTCCATCTCTCTAATGTCCATTTGGTTCATCTGATATCTTGTTCTGATTTACAACAACCAAGTTCTACTGTAGGCTAGCAGTTCCATGTTAACTATAACACCTTACTTATTTGGCAGGCAGAAGATTTTGAGGACCCAGATGTACATCATCGACATGTTTCGCATCTGTTTGGGCTGTTTCCAGGGCACACAATTAGTCTAGAGAAAACTCCAGATCTCTGTAAAGCTGTGGAATTAAGTCTAATTAAAAGAGGTCTTTTATGAGAACTTTAAGAGCTAAACTCTTTTCGTAGATAATAGTTGTTTTTTCTTGCAATATGTATGGCACTGCATCTCTTATTTATTATGTTGAAATTTCATATGCTTAGATGAACTGGAACCACGTGTAATTATTAATATCTTATTGGAAGACACTTGTATAAAATAATGTCTAATGATACCATGTGTTTGTTGCTTTTGATAGCTTGAGTGATTTTACGTGTTGAGACTTGAGAGCACTTTCGAAATAGACTGACTATGTGCTGTCTTTAAGCCTGTAGTTAGTTTAGTAGACAATTATAATGGTACTCCAATAATTGTGGATGCCTTTATTGTATAGGGATTACTTTTTGTTCAACTTTGTATATATAACGACATGACTTAAATCTGTATTATTTTTTTAATCTTCAATGCTAAAAGTAAATAAAACAATTCAACAGTAGTTAACATTCTTGCACTGTATTATAGGAGATGATGGTCCAGGGTGGTCAACAACTTGGAAAGCTTCACTGTGGGCACATCTTCACAATAGCGAGCACGCATATCGTATGATAAAACACTTGATTGTCTTGGTGGATCCTACTCATGAGCGTGATTTTGAAGGAGGACTTTACAGCAACCTGTTCACAGCACATCCCCCTTTCCAGATTGATGCAAACTTTGGGTAAGGATCATCTTTATGTTAGAACTGTAACATCTGTGTATCATGTCAATTTCACTTTCGTCATTTTGAAAGCTCAAACTTAAGTATATTTATTCTCCCATTTCTGGAGAAGGAGTGGGTGGGTAGTTCTGGTGCTCCCATTTTGAATTTCACTGTCATTTCATAAATCTGTGTACTCATGCTTGAAATTTGCTTTTTTCTTATGTTGAACATTTGTGCAATTATCATATCTTGTTGAATCTGTTGCATCTTATCAACATCCTAACCCCGGACAATTGGAACTTGACATCATAGTAGTATTTTAAAGTTCACCCACATGTTTGAAACCTAGCCTGTGATGGAACTGTTGCTTTAGCATTAACTACTTGGCAACGATACTCGTAATTCTGAATTAGTGTGACTGAGAAAGAAAGCGTTGTTTGGTGTCAGTTTTACAGCAGCAATTGCAGAAATGCTTGTTCAAAGCACAATGAAGGATCTCTACTTGCTTCCTGCGTTGCCGCGAGATAAATGGGCCAATGGTTGTGTGAAGGGATTAAAAGCACGTGGCGGGGTAACGGTCAACATTTGCTGGAAAGAAGGAGACTTGCAAGAAGTTGGCCTCTTGTCAGAAAGTCAGAATTCCCAAGTGAGACTACATTATAGAGGAACCGTGGTCTTCACAAGTTTATCACCCGGCAGAGTTTACTCATATAATAACCAGTTGAAGTGTGTGAAGACATACTCCCTTAGCAAAGTGAATCCTTGAATCTTACCCACAAATCTTCAAAAGGAACATCCATTGCTTTTTGCAATTTGTCATTGGATTCAACGCTGGATGTATCTTGCTGGATCAAGTCAAGATACATCTATTTTCATTCCTAAGATTTATTCCTCAAGAGTCATTTAGCCACGGAGGATGTAATTTAAAGGAGGAGTTTTAATTCATGTATTTGGTTTACAGTGTAAAACCTGTTTAATATTATTGTCATTGTCATTCAGTTATTAAACTTCACAGGGGTGGACCATAGTTGTTCTGCTGAGCATCAATATGTTGAGGAATTAGTCTAGGCTTCCCAAATTAGAGGACAAGTTGAGCGTGGTCTAACGATGGCTCTCATAGTTGTTCGGTTCAAGTTGACTCCATAATTAAGAGAATTTCTTGTATGAACACTATTCATGGAACAAGAATTTAAGGTTATTAAACAAAATTTAAGTGTAGCTGGGTGTATTTGTAGTTGTTCTTTAATTAAAAGTTGTAGTTTCATTCTATTAATTTAAACAAAGATGAAATTTTAATGTTTTGCTTAGACATTAATATATTGTTTGGTTTTGGAGGAGAGTTTTTATAAATTTGTTTATTTTTTTTTGAAACTATATTATTGATACATAGTTTTTATTGATTTTATAATGATTAATTTTTATCAAAGAATTTATTTATTTATAATGAATTTTTTCTTCTAATCATATTTTTTTATATACAAGATTCAAATTTAAAATTGTGTTAGAAAATTGAGTCTAATATTACTTAAATTAATGACTCGTTAGTAGATTATTTTAGCAAAGGAGATCACAAAAAATATTTTTCATCTAATTTTAGTTTTCCTTTAGCAAAGGAGATTACAAAAAATATTTTTCATCTAATTTTAGTTTTCCTTTAACATCATCTTAGGGATTTGTAAAAATGACAAAATTTTAAAATATTTTTAGTATAATATTTAAATTATTTTTACTTTATATTTTAAAATTTAAAATTAAGAGATTACAAATGTAAATTGATTTTTAAAAAATTCTTTGTTAATCAAACAAAACAAAAAATTATTTTTCATTTCTTTTTACCAAACAAAATTTATAACTCTTCTACCGTTCTTTTTTCTTATTTTTCCTCTTTTAAAATGTTTATCCTTCTTTAAACTAAATAACTAAAGAAAGAAAAGCAAGAAAGAAATAAATATAGAGAAAGAGTTTTTGGTTTTTATGGATATGGAATAAGATGAAATTTTAGATTGTTCAAATTTTTTTGTATGTTTCTAATTTTTTTATGGTACATAGATTGTTTAAATTTAAAGAAATAAGGAGATAGAAGAGGGAAAAAAATGTTTTTTCTTGTTTTTCTATTTATTTGCTTTGCATAGGAAAAAGGGAAAGAAATTAATTTTATTATAAATACGTTAAATGTTAGATGGCTTTGCTTTTACACTCTTGAAAGAATTGTTTTCTTGTCTTTTTTTTTTTTTTTTTTTTTTTTTTTTGTTTCTGAATGATGGTTAACTTCTTTGCTCTAACTTTTTGTTATCGTTCCTTGACTTTTTCCTGACAGAAAAATGAAATTTTTTGGTGGAATAATAATATCATAATATATATGATATGATATTACACATAAGCTCCGTCTTTATTAAAATAATAATAAAATATTTGTAGAAATCACTATATTATTCACTTAAATTTTTTTATTAATTGTATATATAAATACTATTTTTTTTAATCTTTTTGTTTAATTTATCAATTTTGTTTAATTAACACAAACATATGTTATGAGAAGTACCTAACAAAACACATAAGAAAATAGGTAATGTACTTAAAAATCATCGAGATAAATTTATTAACTTCTACAACTATATTAGAATTCATATAAATCATAATTTATTATTGTTTAACAATGTAATTTGTTATATAATAATGCATAACCAATAAACTCAATATATTCATCTTAGTTGCACTTATTTTTGCTAATATTATTTTTCCTTTGTTTGAAAATTAAAACAGTCATATTAACAAGTCATTAATTTAAATGATATTGAATTCAATTTTTTTAAAATCAGTTTCTTTAATAAAGATTAACATAAAAATTTAACACAATCATTTAATTAGTCTAATAAATATTATATTAATTATTATTATTTGGAAAGTATTTGAAGAGTCAAAAATATAAAGTTTTTATTAAAAAGATTTGCAAATATTTTTGTGTAACTTTACTGTAATTTTTAATTAAAAAATTTCAAATATCGATTGATTAAACAATGTTTTAAAAATACTAATCAACAAGACCTTTATTATATTTTAGTGAGAGGGAAGTCTAATAATCCAAAATATTAGAAGAAAACAAGAAGGTAAAAAATTGAAAGCAAAGTTTAAACGACGCCGTTTTATTTGTATCGTCATATATGGTTGGCAAAACCTATGCTAAGAGACTGAGTAGCTACTAGTACCAGTACCAGCCACCATCACTAAACCTTTGCAAAACCCTAAAACTGCGTTTCTCATTTCTCAGATTGGATTCCGATAATCACAAATGGCTTGGCGTTCAGCATCTCTCTCTCGCTCCGTAATCTCCACAGCCAGGGCTTCTCTCCGACCGGCGGCGCCGTCACCCCTCCCCCGCCTCCGTCCGCCGCCACTCGCCGCCCCTCGCGTCCAGTCCCGCCGCTTTTCCATGCCTGCTTCCAGGTCTCGCTTTTCGCCCTTTCACTTAGTCAACGACAACCAAAACGAAACCTTTTCACAATCAATTTTTACTCAGCCGCCGTTTCAATAATTCTTGCAATTTCGAATCCATTTCGTAATTTTCTTCCAGATGCGATGCTTATATTGAAAATGTGATTTTTTTTTTTGGGACAGGAATTTGGGGCAATTGGGCTGCACACAATCGCTCTTACCTCTGCACAGTACGATGGCTATCACCTGCATGACGTCACACGTTGCTGTCAGTGCACGCGCTTGCTGCGAGCTGTCTCACGGTACCTTCCGACGTTCTTGTCAAGATCGCTAGTAGTCTCTTTGTGAGTCTTGCTGGTTCTAGGACGCATGAAAATCTTCAAATAAATTTTTTTGTCGTTTTAAAACATTTTCATTTCAATAACCCACCCAAAAGTTCCTTTTTAAAAAATAAAAATGTTCTGGATCATAGAAAACCTTAAATTGTTGGCCTGGTAGAATGTTAAAATTAGGGGGTCCTGTCTGTTGTGTTACTCTGTGTGAAGAAATGAGATGGGTAGAATTTGTGAGTTTGTCTAGCTTGGTTCTTAAGGTATTAAGATTCAAATTTTTAGGGAATGGAAAAGATGGGTGATGCGCAAGGACATCGATCATCCAATGGCGAGAGAAGAATGCTGCATAGTAGGTTCCCTTTTTTTTTTTTTTTTTTCCTTTATTCAAAATTATAAATTCGATAATGTTTTCAGTTAAACCATACATAAGTAAGTGATTGGTGATTCTTGGAGATGAACCGAAGCAGTAGCCAGATTTTCCTGTACATTAATTTGTTTCTTTTGGGTCTAATTCTTTGAATTCAACATTTCGTCAATCCATTGCATGTGAATGTAGTGATGCTTTTGAAAACACTATGCTTTAAGCAGTTAGATGTAGTCCTAACTGAATGAAAAACCTAAGATTGTATCCCTGCTCATTTTTCTTTTGCTGGCTTTCTGTCTTTTTATTCACAACTGTATCTAAGGTCATGAAGTTTCTACACCATTCTGGAAATGCTATTACCAAAATAAAAAAGTATTTTATGGTTCCAATAAAAATTCGGAAGGAATAATTTGAGCACTTTTTGTCCTTTCATGTCATGCATAAAATTGCTTACTTTAACAGAAATAAAATTCATGCCCGAGTCATCCTTGAAATGGCTGTATGTCCAGCCCTTTCATCAGTTTTCTAATACTACTAATGGGTAAACTCCATTCCTTTCACAGGTGATCCTGATTCCTGAGGTGAGGTTCTAAATTCCGATTGATTATTATGGTTAAACTTAAATGAACTCCTTGACCCAAATCCAAATCCTTTGCTCTGAAAGTTGAGATTTTTATGCTAAAGAGGTTGCTGCCTTGAAATTCTTCCTACGATGACAATTTGAAAGCTTCAGGCAGCTAGGCATGGCAGTAAAATACTACAGTCTGTCCTTTTATGTGAAGGATGATTACAACCTTTGCCTATTCCTTTTTATGACAAGTCTAAGTATTTTTATAATAATAAAAAAATCAACATTGCTTGCTATTTTCTGTCTATGGTGTTGTATGTTATGACCACTCGACCCTATTTTGAAACTCCTGTTATTTTGGTGGTTTCAGTTTTCAATGTTAACAGATGCAATGCATGCGCACGAGGATATATAATTTCTAAAAGTATCCTTTGTGTGATGTAAACTCATGAGCAATCGATCTGATGCTGGATGTAACAATAATGTCTAAAATCTTAAATCCCGTGCTATATCTCATGCTTATGCAGTTGTGATTTCCTTTGCTGTTGCAGGTACGTGAGGAAGCTGTTGGATTTTCGTAGTTGCCTTTGAGAATATGGGTGATCAATAATTATGAATAGTGCTATCTGCAAAGTAACGGTTGTAGGAATCTTGAATGGGACTCATCTGTTATGCTATTTTTAATTTGTGCTATTTCTTATTCAAGAGGGAAAAACTTCTTTCTTTCAAAATCGGAACATCATTCAAGATTAGTTATTATTGATTCTTCTTGTATCTGGCTTTTGGTTAAATGCTGTACATTTGTCGTCTTTCTTTCAAGTATTTTTCAAAATAATATGCGGATTGATCACTTATCAAGTAATGCACTAAATTAATATTAATGTAAATTAATAATAACAACCATTTTTTTTTTTATATTTGGTGTTAATTTCCAAGTGTATTCGGTTTGGTTTTTTTTTTTTTTTTTCTTAAAAGTAGGGCCAAAGATGAGTTGAGATCGAATTGGTTCAATTCAATCTAATAACATTTGCTTTAGTTTTAGTTTGTAACTTGACTTGAGTTTGAGATAAATTTATTTTTCTTGATTTGAATTTGACTCGGTTTAAGTGTTGTTAACACTTGTTAACTCAAATTATATGAATCAAGAGATAATTTCTTTTGTTATTATATATTTTAAAATTTTAATTTAATAATAGATTTTAGATAAAATAATTGTTTATTTAAAAAAAAGATAAAATAATTTATTTTATTAACTTTGCATAGTTATAAGAAATGATTCTAAAAAAACTTAATTATAATCAAAGTTTATATAAATAAAAATTATATTATCTTGCATAAAATAATAAAAAATCTAATCTATATTCATGAAATTATAAAACATTTTATTATTATTAATTTAAAACTAAGTTTTAAATTTTTAACAAGTTGAAATTAAATAAAAAGTTAATTATAGAAATTATATGTTTATATGTTAAATTGATTCATGAATAACTCCAAGCGTTGATTCACGGTTAAGCAAGGTCAGGGGTTCGAATCCTGTATTGTGTATGCAGTCGTGTTAAATCTTGGGGCCAGCTATCTCACCCTTTGAGGTGCCTTCCTCGTAGCGAGGAGATTAGTCACTGCTCTCGGTCCTGGATACCCCAAGGACGAATCAAAAAAAAGTTGATTCATGAATTAAGCAGGTTAAATTGTACGCAACACAAATTTGATTCATCTATTTATTAAATTCAATCTTTAAATCATGTTTATCTCATTTAGTTCATTAATCAAGTTCAACGAATTAATTATTTAATTAAATTTTAAATTAATTTTGAGTTGATCAGATTTATTGTCGTTAATTAAAAGTCATATAAATTAAATAAGAATATGATTTAAATATATTCTAAAATTTTAATTAAACTAAATTAATTTTTTATTATTTAGTTTGATTTGATTGGACTGTTTTAAAATTTTGCTACTATGCATTAAAAAAATCAAAATATTTATTAATTCAATGTGACATAACAATGCTTAATTTTTTGTTCACTATGTCAATTGTAACTTCAACTTCTATTTTGTATGTACCAAATTTCGGTAATGAATAACTACAACATAAATGAATCTTAAATTATAACTACAATTTACATACATAAAGTAATTAAAATTAGAATAGTTAATAAAAAAATTTAAAGTATAACATTCATTGAACTTGTAAAAGCAACAAATGACCTTAATATAATTTCATGCATGTTACTTGTCATCATTTATTGAAATTAAAGTAAAACAATCATTGAATTTAAATAAAACTATTATTTGTTGTACCATTGAAATTAGAAGAGAACACTCTTGCAAAAATATAATTATACTTGTTAGTATATATTAATTTAATTACTTGTTATTGTACATTTAAGACAAAATATATTTTTATATAAATAACTATTTAGTTTGATTTAGATTAATTTTACGTTTTCAAAACCATAAACTGAACCAACCTCCCGATTTAAGATAAAAATTGAATAAAACTACTAATTTTTAGTTTTCTTTTTGAGTTGGTTTGGTTTTGAAGGCCTATTCATTTCTCTTTCAATCATCTCATTTATTTGTATTATCACATGGAATTATTATGTGAAAAAATAAAATAAAAAATAGATTTTTTTCTCGTTTTTAAAAGGGTTTTTGATTTGCAACAAAACGATTTTATTCTTGTCTTAACACAATTTTTTTATGTTACAGTTTAATTCAAACTAACCAATGAATTTTATTGAGTTTAATTTTCATGTATGATGAATATAAAGATTTTTATATTGTTCATTGATTAGAAATCATCTTAAACAAAATAGTTACTATAAAAATATTTCATCATACATGACAATCCATAATTGATGACAATATAAAACACATTTACTGTCACTATATTTTTATTAGCATCTTAAAAATTTGTGAAGCATAAAATATGATTTGGATAGAGATTAGCTCTCAATTTAATATGATTATATGAACGAAAGTGGAGCAGCAATATTCCCTGATTTTGGCCTAATGATGCCTGGAAGAATATGCCGTTCTGTTCGATTCTATCTTCCAGCATTTTGAGTAACTATTTCACAGAGATTGCGATAAAAATGTGGTGTGATCTTTGATCACATCATGATTAATGCTCATAAAAAGCGCTTGTTTACTTGCTTACGGCTTTCTTATTACCCTTTTCTATTCCTTGTATATCTCTAGGCAGACACACATAACCCATTTTTCACTTTATACAGTATATGTACTTTGATCTTGTTGGACCTAGATTACAGGTTAAAATAATCTTGTTTAATCAATTTAAGTTGGACTGGTTCTTGTTTATCTCTAAATTATTATACAATCGATAATCCGAAGAGAGAAATTATCCATACGTTAAACTAGAAATATATATCTGTAGCAAAAAAACAGAATCTAGAAATATCTCTTGCCCCCCCCCCCCCCCTTTTTTGT